TCTTTGTGGGGTCTGAGATCAACAATGTTCGATAGAAGAATTCAGGTAGTTCATCGGCCTCCTTTTCTTGTAATTTCTTTATCTCTTCTCGAAGACGAATGCAGCGTTCATTAAAAATTCTGAGGGAGGTGCCATGTCAAAATCTGCAGACGATACGGTTGGGTCATCTGGGGGGAACAAATCTCGACAAGAGAATATAGTAGCTAATGATTAGTCGTTATCGTCTTCCTTGTGATTCTGTCGCTTCTTCGGAGCGGGAGCTTGTAAGTTAAAATCGAGGCAAAGTACCACTGAGTTATCTGGGGTCAACGAATTTTGGGGAGTAAAAACTGGTAGTTGTCCATTGTCATCGTAGGTTCTTGAACTAGTTCGGGCTCCTTTCCCTTCATGTTTTAGATATAATCGACGACGAACTCCTTAGGGATTTATAGCGAACGCTCACGTGATTTTCGCGAAGAAAATGCCGCATGCTCGTTATCTCTGTACAGAGGTCGCGTAAATCATACCGTAATTCCTCTAGTGGGCAAGTGTGTGTACGAAAACGAGGAGCGAGATGAAACACTCAGCTGGAGGGAGATAGATATCCCCCAGTCCTGGCAGTAGGAGATTTTTTAGTGAACTAACCTTCTTGTACTGGTGGAATGGCCGAAGAATACTTCCGTGTAGTAGCTACCTTGACAAAGATATCAGAAGCCTTGTGAGTTCATACGAGTTACACGTTAGTAGCAAGAAGGGGTGATGTAAGCTGTCCCATTACTTTTCCATTTTGTCTTGGCCGTGGTGTTTGCCCCTCCTCGACTTTTAGCTATTTTTAAAAAGTGTTTTCCTTAAATGCCGAGCTGACAGTGGGAGCAGGTACTGAAGGAAGTCCCGAGTACACACAGTTTATAGATGCCTAAATATCTGCGTCCATATGTGCATTCAAAGTACAGTACCAATGAGTGCCTAATACTTGAGTCTCGATTCTCAACTTCTTACTGCATTTGCTTACACACAATGCCACTACTTCATACGCGTACGGTCTTGAGAAGCTGATAGATTTGATTGCAATGAAGTGATACAGTGAAGAAATGGCGATAGGGTTATAGATAGAAATGCAAAGCAATAACGGCCTAAAATACAGGAAAAGCCTGATGTAAGATGGTAATACATGATCAGTGCATAAATCACAAAGCACAATGCCACGACTGCAAGGTATTCTGGGATGCATTAGATTATTGTTTGTGCCAAGACGTCCTAATGTTGAAAAAATGAGAAAGGGTTCAAATTTTTCTAGAAGGATACAGTACGAACCGTGAAGAGCGGTTGTTGCATTTTTGGCCTCTGAACATTGAACCATTGAATCTCAACGACTTGGATGTTCCATACGGGAGAGATCAGTATAGATTTAAAATGAGCGGCGAAGTGGTTACCGTGAACATTTTGTTGCCCGCTCCTCCTCGGAAGGTATTGCATTCGTCCGTTTCGAAGGATTTTCTTTCACAGGAACCAAGGTAATGTGCGATAGCGGTACTAGGTACTCGTCTGACAGCAGAGGATCGAGAAAATCCTCATGTATGTTATAGTATTGATCGTCGATCCTTGCAGGATAAGTTTTTTCCGAGTTCTCATAAGCTGAAGACAGCAGATCGGCGAGCTCTACGAGAATAACTATGGCGGGACCGAAGGAAGGAGATAGGTATCTTTTCGTTTCTGACAAACGATTGAAATCTCGCACGAAGACTAAACGATCTGTGATATCCAATCTCCCATAAAATATTTCATCCATCTTGTTTCGACGACCGACGGTGTCCAATGAGCAACTAGCTTCATCACCATTGAAAAATAGCACATAGACAAGGAGCCACCAGGCAGACTCTAGGTCATGCAGAGGATTATGGCGAAAGGAATCGTGGAGAGGTCCATGAGCCGAATGCTGCCTTGATTGGCACTCTTCTTTTTACTGGTGAGGTCAAAGTCAATGGTTGATCGTGATTTCGCTACCAGCTTGCGTTTCACCGAGGTGAATAAATAGCCGTTGACGAGGGTCTCGGCAGCTATGAAGAACGGAGTTTCCTGACCAAGCAGCTTCAATCGACGCGAAAACTGGAGGAAGAAGTTTTACGTACGGTGCGCATATCATGTCGACGTCGATCGATAAGGCGAATGGCATACTCAAAGTCGCCCAGTAGCCCTATGCATCAGTCCTGATACCAATAAACATTGCCTCCACTTATATTACGGTGTACCCATCCAACTCGATGCAGCACATAAAGAGCTAGAATACAGTAAGCTCACCAGGGATAACCATCGTGAACTTGACGGACTTACCTTTAACAACCTCGACAATGGCCCGAAAGACATTTGCCAAACTTCGCTCGTCGTATAGAGTTATCGCACACTGTTCGAACACAATCCGATAATGATAGCGATGACGACAGGTCGTCTTCTTGTAAGCATTTTCCTCAGGCGCCTTGTCCAGGGTTTTATGCCGAGGATGAGAATGTTCGGGTTGCTGAATGTCATCGAATGTCCGTTGCGCCGGAACAGTGATAGAGGGCGAAGCAGAATCTCTATCCGAAGGCATGCTTATTGCTATACTTCGGTTCTCAGGCGAGGGAAATTTCGGGGTAATGATGTCAACTAAGGAGGAATTGTCCAAGTCGTAGCCTCTCGGCATGATGCCACTAGTGTCGTCTTCCTGCTCATCGATGCGAACCTTCCAGTACGCAAGTGGTTTAAGCATGCGTTTCTCGAGCTCACGATCAAAGGTATGTGCAGGATGTTCATTAAGTGCCTTAGCATCCGCGAGGATTGCCTCTCGAATCTTGTGCTCTTCAAGACGATCACTCTCAAGCCATACATCTTTGAGGTCACGTATCTCGCCGCCAGAATCCCTCACTTTCCATACCTGCGTAGCGCGACCGAGAGGACTGTCGGCTGCACAGTCGGATAGGACATCGGTTGTGGTGTAGAATTGGCCATCAATCTCGATCTGATAGTGCATCCGACTGGATTGTTCGGCGTGCAATGAAGTGATGGTTGGATCCCACCCCATATCACTTAGGGATGAAAAGGCCAAGGAAAGGAAGATTTCGACAAGTTGTCTACGTTCCTGTACGCCAAACGAAAGGCCAGAAATCTTTTCGTGCTGAAAGAAAGCGCAGAGCATACCGAGATAAAGTCAAAGGGTTGCGTTCTGGGTAACGTCGCGCGACTGAGAAACCAAAGACCAGTCGAACGATTTTTGATAGTGGTTCCAAAGGTGAATCGTCTCTGCAAGGGTCCAGAGCGAGGATTTGCTCCATATCATAGACGAGTTTGGTAAAGTCCTGCAATACAGATCTCAGGATAGGTAGAATATGAGAGGATGGAATGAAGACACACATCATTGCGAGCATTCTGGCTGTCGCCCAGCTTGAACTGATGAGGATTCGCAAGATCATACACCAAGTGTCGCTCGGGTTTCGGGTTTTGGTTTTGTGTTTTCCCTTTAGTAGTATACTTCGTATCGACTTCGGCCTCCTTTTTCTTCATCTGCTCTTGCTCCTGCCGGATCTTCGAGAATAACTTGTTGAATGCATCAGGCCGTGAGCTGGAGCCTCGATCTGAATACATAGCGACGTTTCCATGAACGATGAGACAAAAAGTCTGTTCTAGTGATGAGTCTATCTGCTTCGCAGCAGCAGTTGCAGCATCGAAGATGGTCGTGAGCCCTTGAAATGCAACGTTCTCCTGGTCCCTGGCCTTCGCGGGATCCACTGGAAACGCAGCCCAGCGATCATTGGGGACGTCTATGATACCAGTTTCCGCCAAGATCTTCAGAATTGTGTCGACTTGGTTCTCAAGCGACTCCGGAAGTGACGGCTAGATATTGTTGATAAAATCCTGGAGAGATAACTCTGGGATCATCTTGGGAACGTCGCGACTAACGATAATGGTTCTTCTCTCTTCCACGTTTGAGGCAGTGCGGAAGGCACCAGAGACAGCAGCCTTGAGCTTAGAAGCAGGAGTATAGAAAGAGGTCGGTTGAGTGTGTGACGATGATTGCGGTGGTTGTGGTTGAGTTGCATCTTCGGGTGACCGAGATCGTATCGGTTTAGACGCGGTCACATGCTCAAGCGCGTGGGCTCTAGAGTGATCGGGCATCTTGTGAGTTTTAGCAGATTTAAGGGGAGTACAGAGGTAGCGAGAAAATATCTACCTGTTACGCATTGTCTTCCATTTTAAGCTACTTGCAATGTGCTCTTTGTGCTTATTACGCATGAGTCACATTTTGAGTAGCAAACACGTGAACTTCTTTTTTATGACTGCCTGAACTCTCTTCAACTCAAGTGTGAGTTTTAGCATAGGAAGCCCGAACTGAGGGCAAGGTGTGACTGTCTAACGAACATGTTTCAAACCAGACACTGTATCTAACCTGATCATCTCGAAGATGAAAGCCAAGGCGCTTGATGTGAATTGACGGTGTCATCTCTATCATACATTCTGGGTGGCCGTGATAATTGACATCTCGTCCAGAATCCCCTATTGGTTTCTCATAACAAAGACGGCTGAGGAATCTAGGCATATCTCTGTCGAGGTCGGCCCCTCGTAGAACGGCCGCGGGTCTAATAGGATATTAGATCACAAGGACGGTATATAATTCAAGGAAGAACGGAAAATGTACATCCACTATCTTTTTGCCTATTATAACTTCATATACCAAGCGAGCAAACACACTCGTTCATTCAGCATCGGTTAGTTCGACCCGTCGTTCGAGTCTAAATCCTCGTCGTCGTCTTGATTTTCGTAGCTGTCTACTATCCAATCGTCTTTTGCGAATATTGGACAGATCTTTGGTAAATAAAGCTTACGGGAAGGCAAGAGTCTAGTAGATACCCATTACCTTATTGGGTTCAGAGAATGTTCTGTAGTATTGGACGGTCTTCAAGAGGAAGGAAATTCATTTGTTCGTTTTGGGACCATCAAAAGCGGATTAGATATCGAAACTTATATCAAACAATAAATTCAAAAAGAGCTGGACAAATCCGGATTTGAACCGGAGACCTTTCGCATGCAAAGCGAACGTGATAACCCCTACACCATATGCCCATATAAGGACGTAACGCTAAAACCTATATAGCCCCAGTTTTGTGAGGCATTACCTATTGCTAATCAATATCAACACAAAACTGTATCAGACAGACAAACACAAATCCTGAGTAGACACCGCGAAAAGTTTCGCTGAAGGTCCAGGACTTGTTGAGTACTGCACATCAATCGTCGATGACCATTGGAAAGGTTTGGAGATAGTTCCGTATCTGTACCGAGCAATTGTTCAGGTACATATCAAGGTCGGGAGGACCTATGGAGCGATTATTAGGAACGATACCGAGTAAAGAAGAGGACGTACTTACGTAGAAGCAGGGGTGATTAGATGCACATTGACGACGATCGCTGATCGCAAAAGGCACAGTGATTTGCCAGCTGGTACGGACAGTATGAAGGGCTATAAAAGCTCTGGAAGCCGACGTAATCTACAAAGCGAAGTCAGTACATGCAAAATCTGCGGAAAGCGAAAGGACGGACGGTATATTAGAACGAATATCAACGTTCAGGACTACTGCAGACAGCGGTTTCCAAGACTCAACGACCGAGAAATACTCTTCACATCAGCCGGCTAGATGAAGAAGCTGAGTATTCCACAGTTCTTCCGCTCGAGCTGTGTCGAGCACAATGACGTTTGGCATAAAGAGCTCGAATTGAAGCAAGGCCGTCGCCTATGAAGTAGAGGCGATGATGCTCAAAGCTAACAACTACGAGGCAACGTCGCAAGTTTGGAAATGGAGATGGGGTATGAGCGTGGAGACCCTCAAGAATTTAGGGATAGGAACTAGAGCTGGAGACGAGTCAGTCAAAGTCATGCGCCAGAATTGATGAATACCAATACATACGCACCTTTCACGGAAATTTTAGGCGAAGGAGATCGGTCACCGAGCGTAGTATAGAAGAATAGGTATTTTATGATTCTGCTACAGTTGCCAGACTTCGGTGGTTTGCTTGGGATTGAAAAGCGTCGTTCTAGACGTGTGGTTTGCATTAAGGACTCCCCTCTCCGCGTTGATTGTCGCTTCAGCGTCCATCGTGTCCTCTATCTTTGTCATACGGTGAAAGAATCAATCGATTGCTTGCGCTAAAAATGCACAAGACGACTTTAACAACTGGTGCGGCCGGTTGAGTTATATTTGCAAGCGACGTACTGCAAGGCATTGCGAGTGGATGAAAGCCGTGTTTCGTGGAGCTTGTTTGAAAAAGCATGACTATACAATATTTTGACTAGAGTTGTGCGGGAAGAAGTTTATAGTTGAGCGAGATACAAAGAGAAAGGGATAGTGGGGGGTGAGTGTTGTGGTAATTCAGCATCGACGAGTGCATAGTCTCGAATAAGCGAACCGGACATAGATCACACTGCTTCCCAAATCCATGTTACATCGAGTTACTGATGAACGGGGTTCCGAAGCGTCATCTGGCCCCGGCAGATTGTCATCATATAAAGGATTGGAGAAGGACGTCTGGAATATCTACGAGATGCAAGACGGAGAGAAGAGAAAGAGATGAAGAAGACGATATATGAATGAAGAAAGGGAGAAAGGCGCCACGCGCAGAAAAAAATCTTGGGTGTGGACTAGCGAACTCACTGGCATTCACTCGCTCATACGACGCCCTCGTCCAGTTGACTTTTCCGTCCACGTGTTTGCCAAGGGTAGGCAATGGTGAGGTGTAGAGGTCCCTGCAGTGGGAGATACGTAAACATGAGAGCGAAGAAACATCGTCGACATCAACGTACGAACTGGCTTGCCTGAAAGCTGACATTCCTCCAAGTTTTAACCCTCGATATTCCTTTATTGGTGAACGGATTGCGCAAGCTAGTAGGTTCGCTCGTTGAGCAGCGGCGTATTCAAAGTGGTGGTAGTTTACAAGGTCTGTATAGGGGAAGATGGTCATTTAAAGATATCTGTATGTAGAACCAGGAAAACGAAATCAAATCCTCACCTCGCTTTTTAATCTTTGACACAATTCCGTGGTGAAAATAGTGACCATCAATGCATGCATACATCGAGGAGGGCGCTTCTCTTTGAACGGCCGACAGCTTTCAAGCAGAGACTAGTGTTGTATGCAAATGAGCAGGTACGATGAGAGAACTTGACCTCGTTAAAATGAGTTCAAAATCACGGAAATACGAGCATGGAGGAAGTTGCTGTATATGTAGATGAAAGCCATGCTGTTGTTTTCTCTATTAATCGACTGGTCATTGATCGCGACTCGACGCGCTAGCAGACATAAGTAAAAAGCTTGTCGTAAAAAGAAACTTAAGAGTGGTTCCCACGACGCTCAGAATCAACTTATAATCAAGCGCCCGTTTCCACTTATAATCAAGCGCCCGTTTCCATCTTCCCCACACAGAACGTTTCATACAAATAATCAAGCAATGAATTTTGCAGTACTCTGAATTCATCTATCCAGTTCCAAGTTGAGACAGGACATTGTACAAAACCGTTTAACGCAAGTATCAAGAACATATACACACGTCACTTCTTCACTAAAGTGATGTTTATGGGCAATTGCGGATGATTATCCTTTCCAACAACGGGCGCAGTGACACCGTTCATCTGCCAGAAAATCTCGGATTCTTTGGTCGATGGGGAGAACTGGAATTTCTCTACCAGCGTGGATATCACAACTTCTGTAGGAGAGATGAGTGTTTCTATCTACAAGTTGCTCGCTGGAAAGAACTCACTCATTTCTAACTGCGAAAATTTGAACCCACTGTGAAAGTGCATTGTTAAAGGTTTGATTTAAAGAGGTTAAGGCAGAGGACACGTACATGCAAGAACGCGGACCGCCGATGAAAGTCATCCTAGAAGTGGGTACGCAGATGATAAAAGGCAAACTCAGCTGCACAAAATTGAGACTTACAAATGGGAATATACCCCAGGAATCCGTGCATCGACGAGTGCCTTTGGCAGCGGAGAGAGCCATCTTTCTGGTTTCCATTCGTCAGCATCTGAAAGACATGTCAAATATCTTGCAAAGTTGCGAATATGATGCTATTTATCACCTTCACCCCATAGAACTGTGTTCCTATTCGAATTGGAGATAGACACGATGATTGATGTATGTTTCGGAACAGCCACCTCATGAATTTCGGTACCATCCAATCCTATTACGGGTGTATGAAGGGGTATTACTGTATCTTGAAGCGACCTATCGTGAATGAAACCAGATCACGTTTGAAGATTGCTGACGTTCAAGCGCAAGCACCCTTACCTTCGTGTGACGGTCGAGGAGGGCGAATATCTTATACATGGACATCGACCATGATTAGAAAATCAAGATCGAAATCGAAAGGCAAAACTCACAAACGAAGAGTTTCCCTACAGACAGCATCGAGGTATGGCAAAGCAACTAATTCCTCGTAAGTAAAGTCTTGCCCATCCTTCAGGTGCTTTGCCTCGACGAGTTCTTGCCGGAGTTTCTCCTGGTAGTCAGGATGTTGCGCGAAAAGATGAAGCAGGCGAGCCATAGCGCTCTGGAAAGAGATTGAACATAGATGATAGAGGTGAATAGTTGATTAGAATTTACCGATGTGGTGTCCATGGCAGCAAAAATTAAAGTACTAGAAAGGGACCTTTGATTAGAACATGTGTTAGAGAACATAGCAATTCTGTTATACTTCATCTAAGAGGAAGGGCTGCTGTAAGGCACGAGCAATAGTTATAACAAATTAAATCTCACCTGAGAAATCACTTCAGAGTCATCCAAGTGCTCTTCTCCAGACGCCTGCATGTTGTCTTTCACTGAATATGTCCGTATATTCGACTTAGATATGCCATTAGCAGATAGAAGGGGGAACGCACTCAGGATACTAATAAGATCTTTTCCTCTTCCGATTTGCGAGGCAACTGCCTCATCGCCATTTTCAAACGCACGTTTTTTGCTCTCATAAATCGTCTCTGCGACGTTATACATATAGTCCACCATATCTCGCAAGTGATGCAGGTCCCTCCAAGGCATATGGTTTATTATGGAACGACGAAAACCTGCAGATCCAATCCAGGAAACGTAAGGAAGGACGTTGAACTGCCAGAATTGGAGGCGTCTCATAGTGGGTCTAAGGTTTCCTTGCATTACAATGTTCGATTTGATGAGAATATTTCGAAACAACTTACAGCAAATCTTTGATCACTTCAGCATACGGATGCGCAGAATCTTCGTCCACCAGAGGATCAAAAGAATAACCAAGACCAGTATGACCTATTAATTCCAAAGCAGTACGGCCCATCCATGACAAGACGTCGACCTATGAGGGGGGAATGTGAGGAAAATTTTGAGTCCAAAGTGAACACATACCTCTTGAGTCGGTGACCCATTTTGAAGTCGATTCTTCAGCGCGGCTTCCAGCTAAGTGTACATAGTGAAAAAAATCATTCAATCTTTACCTAAATCGATCTAGATCAATTACCTTGTGAGTAACCTCAAAAAAAGCCGGGACTGTCAAGAGATTTTGTTCAAGGCACTTGAGCTACGGAGATTTAAACAAGGGGGCATACGTACTCATTTCTCTCATATGAGCGGCGGAAAAGACAGGCTGTAACATCTTTCGCTGCTTGCGATGTCGATGCCCTAGAACCAACTAATCTGAGCGACATCACTGGATTTAGATGACCAATAGCATACCCAAGGTTCCCAGCAGTCCGTCTCCAAAAATCAAAAGGTTTCCTCTGCAAGGTCAATGAGTTCATGGAGTTCATTGATTTGAGCCACGGGACACACTTAATGAACCCTTCATCTTCCTCAAATACATCCTGGTCCTGCAGACAAATTTCTTTTGATTTTCAAGTGAATCATGAAGCAAATAATATTACCTTGACCAGTACAGTATGCATTGCTTTGGGGTCAAAGGTATAGAGTGTATTCATCTAATATTATTTGTGAGTTCGCCGAGCCAGCTCTGGAACTGTAGCTTTGTGGTCCCTTACACCATATGGGCCGTGGAGACGCATCATACTGCCATCTGAGACAAAAGTGGGAGTTTATCAAGTGCTTCAGAT